GTTGTTTTATTAAATATTTTAATAAAATTGAATATTTACAATTAAATATATAATTTTTAAAAATTTAAGAATTATTGATATAATTAATTAAAATAATAATATGCATTAATATAGTTTACAATAAAACAATTATTAAGAATGAAATATATAAGTTATTTATAAAATTTTGTATACTAGAAATTTATTATTAGTTGAATAATATAATTTTAAAAAATATTTTTTAGACAATCAAAAATAAATTTATTAAAAAAATGATATTTTTTAATAATTAAAAATATTTATAAGAAAATATTTAAAAATAAGCAAATTATAAATTATAAAAATGAATAATTTATAAAAAAAATCAGATAAGTTTAATAAATAAATCATAAAAATAATTAGATAAGCTTAATAATTAAATATATAAAAAAATTTATATTATCCAATATTAATTATTATTATTTTTTGAAATTAAAGTTATTTTTATTTTAATAAGTTACAATGGATAAAAGTTTTTAACATCAAAATAAAATCTAGATTTTCAGATCAAATAAGTTCGATTGACTAATAACAAATTTTTTATTATGATCAAGTTACATCAGATAGTAAAATATAAATTCACAAATTTGCTAAATTTATTTGCCAAATGTAAATTATGTTATCTAATTTAATTTACGCAGTTTTGATCGGTTCGCAACTAATTCATGGGATTTTTTTAATTCGTGGTCTCCTTCTCTTTAGATTCAAGTTCTTTTATTGCATCCTTGGACCCTTTTTCTGCTGCTGCTCTCAAATAACACATATACTCCGAATTGTCAACAGGAAAATCATGCTCTCCATTCAAATATAATTGAGAATACATATACAGCGCATCGGGATCATCATTATAAACAGCTTTTTTAAGATACTTTATGCCCTCGTCCTTTTCATAATAAATCCCTTTGAGACAAGCATGGGCGTACAAGTATTGACCTCGGGTATAGCCACTCTCGGCCGATTTTCCGAGATACAGTAAAGCTGTAATTTCATTTTTTTCAATTCCGTAAGTTCCTTTGTAGAGATAAAGACCCGCATAATATGCAGCTTTAGAATCCTTTTGTGCCAGCATTTGGAAATGAGGAAAAGCTTCCCTGTAATGTCCACTATTGTGGAGAGATATTGCTACATTCATATTTGGCGTCTTTAGCAATGATATACCTTCGAGTTTCTCGAGAATTATTTTAATTGGCGGACGGTTATTAAAATCGTGGTCCCACGCCTGCACGATTATTTCTTTATACTTTTCCGGTGTGCCTGCTGGAAATGGATCGGGTCTTTTTCTACTTATAATTATATCTCTTACTTTCATATCCTTTTCAACATCATCGAATGGAATTTTGTGCGATGAAATTTCCCATAGAAGGATTGCGAAACTGAATATTATCAAATATTATTAGATTATTCTCAGAAACAATATAATTCATCTACTTTATAATA